TCATCTTGAGATCATCTTCAAAGTTGACTTTCGAATTCGAATATTGCATAAGTTAAGCTTTCAATTGGACTAGTTCATTATGATAGTATCATATATTATTGTATTTTTTTTAGCTCAAAAAACAATATTGAAAATTCTTTTATGAAAAATAGCAAACTTTGATCTTCTGTTTACATCGTAGGCTATAAGAAACTAGAAACACTGATATTTCTGACCATAAGCTAGTCTCATTGAGAATTTTATTTGTGCAAAGTTTAAATACGAAAATTGAATATTGATTATGCACGGGATCAGAGGATGGTCATGACCTTTTATTTTTTATTTTTGAAAGACTTTTTAAAATGGCTATAACTCAAAAAAGAACGACCGATGAAAATAAATCCTTGCAAGTATTTTTTTACTGCTCATAGGATACATCGACTGCAAGAAGACTTCTCTCGAACTACTTTGCTGTTGTCAGCAATCATAAGTATCAATGATTACATCATTTGCCTTGAACTTTCATTTAATTATTATTTAATAAAGAGCTTGTTAATTAAAAGGAAAACTTGTAGATTTTCAGAGAATTTCTAACAGTATCCTTCATCAATTTTGTTCTTCGATAGACATGTATTGTCCATCTTCTGTCATGTTTGCTAATAACATTTTCAAAATTTCTGACCATAAAAAAAAACTTTTTGTTGTCTTTAGAAATTTTCGATTGTACAATGCTTTAAAGATTATGAAAAACAAATATTAATATCAAATTATGAAATTCAAATAGAATTTCATGAACATATGCATTCTTTAGTATTTTATTCAATAAAAGTAACATACTCAAGGAAATAAACATGTTAATTTAATGAAGATATTAAATCAACTGGTATCAGAGGTCTCAATAGGCTGGATCGGGCTGATTCAATAGTGCAATGTGTCGAGTCTTGATAAAATATAAAATTTTCAAAAGATGTTGCGTATGTCTTCTATTTTTTTTTAAACTCCATGTAATTCTTCTATCGGCTAAAGCATTTCTACAAATAAACAGCAAATATATGTAGCAAAAATTAAGAAAAAGATAAAGTTATCGTCAACTTAAAAAGCTTTCTTTGTGTTCAACAAAATGTCCTTGCTTAGTCCCTCTCGTTCATCAACAATTGCGACATCATCGTCAATTACTTTTTCTAATTCTAATTCTATTCCTACGCAACTTTTTCAATCATAAAACATATATTTATGTTGGAAAGTTTTTGGTTTTCCAAATAAAATCTAAAAAAATACTGTTGAATTCGAGAGAGAATTGAAAGTTTTGCAAATTATTAAATATATAACCGAACATTTGTTTATACATCAATTGCTGGTACTCGAAATATGACTGCTCATTCACGTATTAAAAACTTATCCAATGCGATTGGTGAGTGACCCAAGAGTGCGCCAGCTTTCTTTGATTCAGACCAGTCAATTAAAATATCTGATTGGTACACTTCAAGCTGAAGGTAATACACAAAAAGAGTTTCTTTTGTTAAAGTTTGAATAATCACTTATTTTTAATTGATAATGAATGTAGTAAAATATCAAAAAATCGTTCGATGGTTAAATTAATTATAAATGAATGTCAATTAACTGATGAAGAGCATTATTAAGCAGAACTTGATAATCAAAAAAGCAAAGCAATTGTTACTGTAGAAGGTTAAAAAAATCTTTCGCAATAATTAATTTGTCTAGAATTTAGTAAAATTATTATCACTTGAAGACTTCTTTTTTTGAATCAATTAATATAAGAAAAATGCCCTCTCTAGAAATCTTAATCACAGATTTAAAAGAGAATCTTTTATTGTATCATGGCGCCTCTTATACGTAGTATTCAATAAAAATTTATTTATTTTGAATTAAAAGACATGTAAAACCGAATTTTATATTAAATGATAATTAATCTATCATAGACTTCAAAAAAAAAAAGAATCAAACTAATCTTTGATGTGAAAATTAGTTTGTTGTCGTTCAAAAATATTTATACAAAGTCATATCCTGAAAAGATCAGAATTGTTGGTTGGATCAATTTTCACCAGAAGAGATGTGTACCAGGAGCGTGAAGCAGAAGCGACCACTCCACGTCTGCCTCTCTGATAATATATGTTCGCGGAATGATCGTGCTTTTAGAATATTAGCTGGTAAGTTCTTTAATTTAGCTTAGAACTCAAAAAGAAAAATTGTTTTTAATGTTTTTAGGGTGGTATCTATTTTTGGGAGGATTCAATTAAAAATAACAAGAAAAATACAGTCTTCATCATCGCGCTATGATGTATTAAGGGTGTGAATATGAATGAGAAATATACATTTCCAGTCACACCCGTCTTAGCCATATGCAAGAATAATGGCAACTAAATTTTATCTGTCTTCGTTTCAATTATCCCGGAGCTTGAGAAACACAACTATGTCCAGAAAAATTCGTCTTTTTGAGAGCGCTATTTGTAAGCGAAAGGAACGTCTTAGAAAGATTGGGAGAAAAACTATATGGATTTGATCTCTATACTGTCAGATCGCATTGAAACGAAAAGTTGCTGATGATGCGATTCGTACCGTAATAAATCTACCCTGAAGGTTACGACAGCTTTATCACGACGACCATAAGTCTTTCGCGTTTTTCTTGCAAAAATGGTGACAAGAATGTGGAGTGTCGTCTCTATTTTGTGATAATCGACATATTCGCCGCTGTGACCTCATGTTTCTTTTCACCAATATACTAATCTCTAGTTTTTAAAAAACAGTAAATATCTCTTTGTCGTTAAAATTGTTTTACGATTTCATACCAGAATAGTAACTTTCTATAGGACTATTTGTACCTAGAGAACTTTCACTTATATATGAGTTAAAGAATTTCTTCATGCAAATTGTCATACTTGTTATTTTGCTTTTGCTTCGTTTTGTTCAGGTTGCAAGTGAATATTTTTTAAAGAACTTCACTAGGAATCTTTCAACAAAGAATGAATATTAAATGCTACGAGTGGCAAAAAAAGAAATTAAATCGTTAATAGAATCATTCTGCCCGAGATACCGTTATTTTTATTATTTCACTTGGTATACTCATTAATGAAATGCAACACTCTTTTTAGATCGTATTTCACAAAAAGATAAACAATAAACAGCAAACGAATAGATAGTCGTTGCGGACAGTGAATTGTAAGAAGCTTTTTGCAGATATTTCCTTTCATATCGATTGACCGTTCTTTTTTTTTCTAACTATTTGGGCTAAATTTTTCATTGTTCCTTACGATCATCTTCAATATGTTTTATGTATTGTCATCGGCCCTCCTGCAACTGTTAAATTTGTGTTCTGTTTAGCAAAATAGATCTTTTTCAGCAAGCGTCTTATTCGAAAGAAAAGAAATACCTTTGAATACCTTTTGTGCTTTGTAGTCATTTTTATATTTCATTTTTTCTAGGATCGATAACTCGGATATCTAGCCTGTGAAAAAAAACTATACCTCAAACATATAAAACTCAGGGGCATATTCAGGGGAGTGCACACGGTACCTGTGCATCCCCTTGGCCAAAAAACAACTGAAGGGAATACTAACAAGAAAACCTTTTCATGCAACAAAAAAATTATTTTCCTCCTGGTGTATACCCCTCATAACAAGTTGGGTACTCTCATTGGAAATTTCTTGACTTAGTCCCTGATCAAACTCTTCATTTCTTCACAATCTAGACGCAAGAATCTTTTTACTTCTTTTGAACTAATTTTTATTTGAAAATGAATGGACTTTGTATTAGTATTTTCAATAATGTTTAACTTTTCTATATTGATATTTTTGTTTCTAAGAATTGAATAGTTACAATTCAATCGAAATTGTAACTTCTATACGAGGGGAAACAGCGGACTCCAAGACTTCAAAAGACTTCAGAGACTTCAACGGACTTTCAAGACTTCAGAAAGACTTCAGGACTTTATGAGACTTCAAAATCGAAGTCTTAGTTGTTTCCCCCTCGCTTCTATATCTCAATGCATTTTTGTTTAATCTGATTTAAATGAATGCTCCCCTTTTCTTTCTTGTTGAAAAACAGAAATACGATTCATAGGCTAGCTGACAGCTGTCAATATAACTTACTGAACATTTAAGTATTTGTGTCGAAAGAACATTCTACTCATCTTCATCCACGAAAAAAATAAACCATGAAGCTTGATCGAGATTTCCAAGATCGGATGTGTTATGAGAATCAAATCCAACAACACGTTCCAAATAGCAAAAAAAACATGTTCACTGAACATTCGAATAAATAATCGCTGAAACATTATCGATCCTGCTCTTCCTAACCTAAAACAACATAACCTGATTCATCAAAATTGCCTTCTACCCTAACGTGAAAAACCGCTCAGCTCACATTTTCATTGTATTTCTTCATCATCCGCCGGCAAAAGGTTCAACCCAATACGAAGAAACAAAACCTGAAATAGGGACACAAAAATTTATCAGCTCAGCATCGCACCCAATTTAACCCTACAATAAGATTGATTTCTCGATCAGAAGAAATCGTCAACCATGTATTCAAGGATCGACCTAAATCTAACCTGCAGAATATATTTCATAAATCATTGATCTACTCGTTATTTCCACTATCAAACTCAATACTACCATCGCGACCGGCATACATCGCCAAACTGCACCTGCACTGAATAAAGCAAGGGTGTGGGGTCTGGGTGTGGGTGTGTGTGGGGTCTGGGTGTGGGTGGGTGTGGATGTGAGTGTGGGTTCCAGTAGCAGTCTTCATGTCTACTGTATTCACGTCTACACCTACACCCACGCCCACCCACCCATACTCACCCACACACCCATTTTTCGTCGTTGACGAGCCGTTCTATACGACATGGAGTAGCGCCATACTCCAATATACAAGTGCACATTTTCTCTTCTCTTTTTTTGTCATGAAATAAACCGTTGCTAGTAATGGAAACAATTGTGAGAAATAGTGACAGTTGTTATTTTTCAATATTTTATTGCTGATTAAAAACATTTGCATTTAACATGTGGACATTAAATATTGCACTGATCAGCTTTTTTCTAACTGTCACCAATCCTCAATTCCCATCAGATAATGCCCGACGCAAACTTGTATCACTTATTGCTGAAGTTCGTCAAGCAGATGGACGTCGATATGCTTCTCGTGATCATCTTGGAAACCCGATGAATTGTATTAAAATCATCAAAAGAACTGGCAGTGATGATTTTATTGGTGTTTATCACACATATGTAAATAATGTACCCAGAGTCCATTTGGCTGTATCGAATGATTTGCTTCAGTGGACATGGCTTCAAGAATTAGCCGTCCACGCTTCACAACCAACCATCGCGGCATCTAGTGATCATCCTGAAGGATATATTCTTGTGTGGGAAGAAACGCCTAGTAGTCATTTGAAATTTGCTTTCTACATGACGTGGGATGATCTTAAAGTTGGCACTGCTCAGCAGACTCATGAAACCACACGTACTTTGTCCCATTGTGCTGAAGGTACTCCTAATATTTACGGAGAGCCAACTCTCGCTAGCATCGATGTTGGATTTCATTTCTCTGATGATTGCACACTTGATCGACAAGCACGCGCTAGTCTGACGAATTTCAGTCTATGGACTCAAATTCGAAAACAACCGAATGTAGACAATGCTCTACTTCACTACGGCGTACGAGGCAATATTCGCGATCGAGATGCATTGTCTAATTTTGATGGCTATGCGTTCACGATCATCGAAGGACAATATCAACCGAAAAATATTGGCACTTGGCGTATATTTGTGTTTGACTCACAGACAGAGAATGCTGATCAAGTACCGATTGTAACTAATGGAAGAAGTCAAGCATTCACGAATCCCACAATGACAATTACCACAATCAACGGACAACGTATTTTACTAGTCACTCTCTTCATAGTGAATGAAAAATCGGCTCCACGCGAAGCAGGTCAACTAATTTACTATCGTAAATTTTAAACTAAAGTCTTTATTTTCTCTCACTATAAATACGTGGCATCGTCAATTTTTCTTACTGTTATTGCACAAAAAAATGATGAACTACACAAACTATGATTTATGTATGAGATAAGCCTTTTTCACTACATCTATTACTTTATTTGATTGAATAAGAGTACTGATCTATTCAAAGGAAAGATTGGAGTGATAAGTAAGAATGTGGGTTTGGGTGTCAGCACTCTTCACCCACATCCACACCTTCAAATGGAAAGACAGCCGTTCAAAAACTGAAAAACTTTAAAAAAAATGCGAAAAATTCTCGAAAAACATGATAGTAGGGTCAAGTTTTCACCAATAAGTCCGTCAAAATTTGTTCTTTTTGCAAAAAGCCATATATATTCTGAAAGAGGAGACTTCGATGCATCTTCCTATGATAAAAACTCTCCATTGAATCTTCTTCGAAAAGTTGTTTTTTTTTGGGGGGGGGGGAGAAATATTGGTGAAAACTTGACCCATCTATACTTTTTTTCTAGAATTTGTCGAATTTTCTGTAAAGTTTTTCACTT